GACGATGTTGAAAGGAGATTGGTGAGCTCAAGAAGTTGATTCAGAATTACATGAAGGAAGAAAGCGCCCGGGAGCCCTGTCGACCCTGCTGAAGGAGCTGATGGCCTGTCAGATCTTCAGGAGGATGAAGATTCGACCGGTACGATCGATAGGACGGAAGGATTCTCAGACATTTCTGGGCTGGTGGTTTCAATCTTTTGTTCTACATTCAACCTTTAACCTGGAATGATTGTTCTCAATTGCTAAGTTTCGGCTTGCCAAACAATCCTGAACCATCCAGATGTTCAAGACCTCATGCACCAGCTATCATCATTTGGTTGTCACCAAAGACGAAGCTGGCTTTGGACAGACAGGTCTTAGAGAGCTCAGAGAAAGTCCCGACTCCCGGATACAGATCAGCAGCTGAGTAACTTCCAGCACCACCCAAAGGGTGGCTGATAGACTCCCCAACTGTCTGTCTACGTTCCTTCCAATAATCCGTACTAGTAGCTAGAAGCTACTAGGTTGGAGGCCATTACTACTAGTAGCTAGAAGCTACGAACGTAACAAGGGCAGACGATGCGTCTTTCTGCGTCATGCGTCGCGGGTGTGTCGACCCAAGGTGAAGGAGATCCGATTGCAGGACCGGTGAGCAAGTACCAAGGTGGGTGAAAGACTGGATCCCAAGATTGATGGGAGAAAAGACCATAGAAATGCCGTACATGCTGTGGATTTTGACATTTCAGGTGATTGGCTAGATTTTCAACAGCAGAATGCTTGGAGAATGATGATTCATAATGACCTCAGTCTTTTTTTCCACTACCTTCTTTGCTGTTGGGTTTTCCCCAAGAATCCTTCCAGTCCCAGCGAGTGCCACGAAGAGCTTGGCTAGGACAACAACTTGGACAAATCGGCCGTGCCACTGCTTTGTGAGATGTGCTGCCGGCCCAACTTGGAACTCGACGATCGGCCTCGCTCCGGTCGCCTGAAACTGAACTTCAAGGGCGAGACAGGGAGCACACTCTCTTGTGGTGAGCGTCCAGATATTTGTTCACAACTTGGGCCAAAGCAAAGAAGTCCTTGAACAAAAAGAGGAGGAATCATTGACACCTTGATACCTCGCCAGGTTGACTTTAAAGTGTGTTTCTCGTTCGGTAGAACTACTTCAAGTTCTCCAAGTTCTCCTTGCTCATTAAGCTTCCAAAAGTTAGTTGGCAAAAAAATAGACATGAAATGTGTTAGTCGCCAGTGGGTCCTTTTCAGTGGCCGTTTGACAGCCAGGATGGACTTGTGCCCATACTTGACCAAGCTGGACCTTAGAAGGACTGAAGTCCGCAGCCACGTGGCACGGCCGGAGGACCTTGGCGGTTCCAAAGATGTGTTCATTCAACTCTTCAAAAGCTTCATGAGGATCCAAGTCAAATCCTCATGAAGATGGGATCCTAATCCCCCTCACACACACCCTCCCAAGCTTCTGGTGCTTTGTCGACACAAGAAGTCTCCGCGGTGACTTGGATGATGTGAAGGCAGAAAATCTCAGCTGCCAACTTGGGTTTGCTTTGTGTTGGTGGTGTCTAAAAGCCTGGGAGCGGTCGAATGGATCTGACTTTCTTGAGGATTGCCACACACGGTGGATAAGACCCTGTACAATGGACTTTGTAGGTCATGAGCTGCCTGTCACGACCTGTTGCAGGGGGATGACACTACCAACTGGCTGCAGAGAGCACATCCACAAAATATTTGGAACAGAAAGCATCTTCCACAAGCAGGGGTTTTCCTGCGTGTAGAGGGCAGTT